ACCCAGGACACACTCTGTATGCCAGAGCACCACGGTGCACAGACACACGCAACTACAGCAGGGATGGGCAGACTAAATCACAGCCAAACCCCGCTGCCCGTCACTGCTACAACTTATCCCTAATGAGCAAAATGATCTTCAGAATCTGGGCTAATTAAGCAATTAAGGGTCAATTAAAAACCCGTTTATTATAAGGTTTGAAGACTTATAACAGCAGGGAATGGAAGATGTTGGGGCAAAGGTTGCCGGTTCAAATCCCGCGGCCGGCAGAGGAATCCTTAACCCCAACTGCTCCAGGGGCGCTGTACAATGGCTGACCCTGCGTTGACCCCCAGCTTCTCTCCCTGTCTGTGTGACTCATGGAGAGCAAGCTGGGGTCTGCGAAAAGACAAATTCCTAATGCAAGAAATTGTAAAGGGTTAATAAAGTGATGTTGTTATTATTATTATTATTATTATTATTATTATTATTATGATGTAAGGCTGACCATCCCCGGTCAATCTTTCATTCCTCTACATACCTCATGTACAACACAACAAACTAAATGAACAAAACATACTGCAAGCTGATGTTTTGTATTTTTTTACCAAAGAGCATCTAGATTTTTATCCCTGAGTTATTCCTGCCGGCTTTTGAAAAACATTTCAGCTGGAAACTAGTTTTATTTCACACTGTGTGAGCAATGAGTTTAAAACCAGGAAAGAAAACCCCAAATTCTTTCAGATCCCTACTTCATGTTCCAAGTTTCAGAATTCTAACGAGTATCTGGTTCCATTAGTAAACCAGGAAATTGCTCAAGTCCTTGTAAAGTTATCGTTTAGTTCAAAAGGTGAATATAAGTTCATTGTGTTACACAGCCAAGGAGGAAAAGTTACCTAAATCTGATTCCAGAGTACTTTTGTTGTTACATAAAACGTTAAAATATTCAGTAGTTATATGCCAGAATAAGAACATATCTCATACTGCCAAGATCAATGCAGCAGCACAATGCAAAGACAGGGAAAATATTTTTGTAGTATCAGCTCCAGGTTGCATTCCTATATAGCTGTAGAAATAGTGCGTTTCAACAGCCCACGAAAAAGCCTGCAATCCATGTTACATGTAGTGCATCTACAAAAACACAGCACAGAATCTCCAATTGTTAAGTTTTTTTTTCTTTTCCTGAAATGCATGCAGATTTCGCCCTGGTGGTTTCCTGACAGGCATGTGGACTGGAGCTACTGGCTCGGCACCCCGCTCTCCCATGCTGCAGTCTGTGAAGCTTGTGGCATCAGGGCAGACAATCGTGCCTAGATGCACTCAATTCCTCCTGGGAGGACGGGGTAAGTCAGGAATGCTTAATCGCACTCAGAGTGACTCAGAGACCCCAGTGCGCTGCAGTAGAGCTGCCTAAGAGCCTGTGACCCTGGGTTAAAAACACACGAACAGTGGCAGAAAGGAGGCCATTCAGCCCATAAAGCAGTTAGTTGCTAATAGATCCAAGGATCTCAAACGGAACGGCTCAGGCTGGATTCGGACCTGCGTGCACCCAGTTTGAGGGCTCTCCGAAAATCCCAGCATCCACGTTTCGTTAACTGCCTGGATGTCTACTTGACAGGGGAAGAGAAATGCTGCTGAAATTCCCAGGAGCCCGGATCTGCTCTTCAGTCACCGCTGTGTGTCAAGGGGAGTCAGCTTTAGGGTTAAAGCAGGAGACCGACATCAAACGCCGTCATATTTCGACTGAGTCAGTTGAAATCGTCTTTATTGTTTTGTATACGGCTTATTTCTAAAAGCTTTACTTTTTTTCTACAAAAAGCCGAGAAGATCAACTGAATAC